ATAATTTAGATAATATTGAGAAGGAATTTAGACGAAAATGAGACGGAATTCAGACGGAATTGAGATGAATTTTAGACGGAATTTAGACGGAAGTAAGACGAAATTTTAGGTGGAATTGAGGGGGAATTGAAACAGAATTGAGAAGGAATTTAGACAAAAATTCATACGGAATTGAGAAATAATTCAGACGGCATTGAGATGGAATTTAGTTGGAATATGGACGAAATTGAGGCGGAATTGAGACGGAAGTGAGACGTAATTCAGACGAAGGTAGAATTGAGGTAGAACTTAGACGCAATTGAGAAGGAATTAAGAAGCAATTCAGGCAAAATTCATACGGAATTGATGCGGAATTTAGACAAAATTGAGAAATAATTTAGACGACATTGAGGCGAAATTAAGAAGGTATTTGAGACGAATTTGAAATTAGACAGACTTCAGACGAAATTGAGATGAAATTGAAGTGAATTTTAGACGGAATTGAGGCGGAATTCAGACATAATCTAGACAGAATTTGAGGTGGAATTGAGGCGGAATTCAGACAGAATTTAGAAAGAATGTAGACAAAATTCATACGGAATTGAGAAATAATTTGGACGGCATTGATATGGAATTTTGTTTGAATATAATCGAACTTGAAACGTAATTTAGACGAAAGTGAGACGAAATTTAGACGATTTTGAGGTGGAATTGAGGTGGAATTGAGGTGGAATTGAGGTGGAATTTAGACGCAACTGAGAAGGAATTTAAATGGAATTTAGACGAAATTCATACGGAATTGATACGGAATTAAGACTAAACTGAGAAGGAATTTAGACGACATTAAGACGAAACTGAATCGAAATTGAGGCAGAATTAAAACGGAATTTAGACGTAATTGGAACGGATTTAGATGGAATCGAGATGAATTTGAAATGTAATTTAGACGGACGGAAATAAGAAAGACTTCAGACGAAATTGGAATGCAATTGAAGTGGAATTTAGATGACATCCAGACGGAATTAAGATGGAATTCAGCCGAATATGAGACGGAATTCAGACGGAGTCTAAACGGCATTCGAGGTGGAATTGAGGCGGAATTCAGACGGAATTTAGAAAGAATTTAGACAAAATTCATACGGAATTGAGAAGGAACTTAGACGACATTGAATTAAGTTAGAATATAGACGAAATTGAGACGGAATTTAGACGCAATTGAGACGGAATTCATATGGAATTTAGTCTCATTGAGGTGGAATTGAGGCGGAATTTAGACGCAATTGAGACGGATTTATGAAGGAATTTAGACGAAATTCATACGGAATTGATGCGGAATTTAGACAAAATTTAGAAAGAATTTGGACGACATTGAGACTAAACTGAAGCGAAATTGAGGCGAAATTGAGACGGAATTTGAGACGAAATTTGAGACGGAATCTATACGGGATTGAGACGTAACTGGAACGGATTGAGATGGAATCTAAACGAATTTGAAATGGAATTTAGACGGATGGAACTTAGAGATGGAATTGAAGTGGAATTTAGATTACGGAATTCAGACGGAATTGAGATGGATTTTACAAGGAATTGAGGTGGAATTTAGAAGGTATTTGATGAGATGGAATTGAGGTGGAATTTAGACAGAATTTAAAAGGAATTAAGATAAAATTCATACGGAATTGAGAAACATTTAGTCGATGTAATTTGGTTGGAATATAGACAAAATTGAGACGCAATTTTCACGTAATTGAGAATGACTTTAGATGGAAGTGAGATGAACGTTAGGCGAATTTTTGGTGGAATTTAGACGCAATTAAGAAGGAATTTATTGAGATGAAACGGAAGCGAAATTAAGACGAAATTTGACACAAAATCAATACGGAATTGAGATGTAATAGGGATGGAATTTAGATAAAATTCAGCCTGAATTCTGAATAAATTCAAAAGAATTTATACGGAATTGAGATTGAATTTGAGTCGAGATTGAAATTTCTTCTTCTTCTTCGCATTTCAAGCTTATTGCATATCGCATATTGATTTATTGCGTGCTCTCAACTTAGTGTTCTAGATGCACTTCCACTGTTATTAATTGCGAGCTTTCGATGCCTGTACAATTTTTTCATTGATATGATTCTGTGGCAAGTCCAATCATACTTCTATGCCCAGGGAAGTCGAGAAATTTTCCAATTTTCCAACCCGAAAAATTCCTAGACCGAACCGGGAATCGAACCCAGCCACCTCCAGCATGGTCTTGCTTTGTAGCTGTGCCTTTACCGACTGAGCTAAGGGAGGCCCCTAAATCTAGATGGAATTGAAACGAAACTGAGGTGGAATTTAGACGGACTTTGTAACGGACTTAAGACGAAATTGAGACGGAATTGACACGAAATTAAGATGGAACTGCTACAGAATTGAGACGAAATTTAAATGAAATTGAGAATGATTTCAGAAGGAATTGACACGAAATTGAGATGGAATTTAGACAGAAGTGAAACGGAATTGAGACGACATTGAGATGAAACTGAAGCGAAATTGAGACGAAATTTAGACGGAGTTTGAGAGAGAGTTCAGATTAAATTCCGGTGGAATTGAGACGGAATTGAAATTGACCTTGAGTTGAGATTGGGACAGAAGGATTTTAAGACGGAACGGATTTAGAAGGAATTGAGACAAAGTTTAGGTATTGATAGGAAATTGAGGTGGAATTTAGACGGATTTTGAGACGGACGTAAGACGAAATTTAGACAGAATTGACACGAAATTTAAATGAAACTGCTACAGAATTGAGATGGAATTCAGATGAAATTGGGACTGATTTGAGACGGAATTTAGACGAATTTGAGGTGGAATTGAGGCGGAATTGAGACGCAATTGAGACGAAATTAAGAAGAAATTTAGAAGAAATTCATGCGGAATTGAGACTGAATGGAGACAAAATTTTACTTCTCAATGTTGTCTAAATTCAGTCTCAATTCCGCATAAATTTCTTCAAAATTCCTTCTTAATTCCGTCCTAATTACGTCTCAATTCCGCCTCAATTCCACCTCAAATTCGTCTTAATTCCGTCTCAAATTCCATCTCAATTCCATCACAAATCAGTCCCAATTTAGACGACATTGAGACAAAATGGAAACAAAATTTGAGACGTAAGTTAAACGGAATTGAGACGTGCTTGGGACGGACATTAAACGGAATTTAGATGGAATTCAACCAAAATTCAGATCAAATTAAGGTGGATTAAATTTAGACGAAATTGAGACTGAATTCAAACGAAATTGAGGTGGAATTTAAATGGACTTGAAGACGGACTTCAAATGAAATTGCGACAGACGATTTAGATGAAACTGCGTCCGAATTGAGACGGAATTTAGCTGAAATTCAGATGGATTGGAAATCGAAATGAGACGGAATTGAGATGAAAGTAAGGCTGAATTGATCAGAAATTAATATGGAATTCAACCGGAATTCAGAGTTTTTGTTTGTCTTGTCCGCCGTCTCGATAAGTCTCATCGTCGCCCACTGTTCACCATAGCTGGTCGAACTCCAGACGAATCTAGAACCACACTACCGTTCACAACCGGCGACATCGCTCTGATGAGACAACGAAACCCTACCCCCAGGCTCCTATCCTTCGACAATGTACCCCTCTAACTTCGGGTTAAAGGGTGATACGGTCAAAATTTGGTCAAGGGAAAACGCGTGTAAATCGGTGAAATCGTTTATTTAAAAAATCAAATTAAATTTCGTTTTTCAAGTTCAATTAGTATAAAATTCAGGAAAAATATTCAGTTAGGCTTCCGCTTTTCCCAATCCGAATTGCCGGTCCTTACGCTTGACCCCTGCCATCAGATTTTGTACAGCCACCTTGCACTGAAAATAAAATTTCGTTTATACAACGAAATCGCTCGTTTGCTCCACGAATCTTTTCGTTGTTATCTGCAACGAAATATACTCGTACTTTTTATGAATGTAGTTTCGTTAAAATTGCAACCTTCGCTCCTGATTATATTTCGTATTGGGAACGAATGTTTTATTATGTAAATACGAATTATTCGTACGACATAACCCCTGGATTGAAAATAGTACGAACTATTTGTATTCTCCTAAAACAACATGCATACATTGCACGAAAAACCATGAAGTGGAACGAAAATTTCGTTGAAATATAAAACGCCTTTCATGGTTTTCGTTGGATATACGAAAACATTCGTACGACCCCGCGGTGGAACAAAAATATACTACACACCAATACGACTATGTTTATGTGTGTTAGTGGATCGCAAGACCTGCATGTGTGTGTGTTTATCCCTTGCGTATGTGTGTGTTTTAAGTCTCCCTCACGCATGTATGTGTATGTCTTATGACACACTGGGTGAGAAGCCATCACGCCTACCACTACACCAAAACATGACTTCGATTTTGCAACCCAGCAAATTTTACTACACGGCCAATAAAATGAACCCAAATTTGAGATCAGTTTACTCATAAATCCCTAAAAGTGCAGGAACTCAGCGATGAGTAAATTTGCCTAAAAATGCATGTTATGATTAAAATACTAGATACAATTAATTTAGAAATTTTGTATATTGATATAACTGAAACCAAATGTTACTCTGGAATGTTCTTGGGATGAATAAGCAAAAGCATGTTTCCTTACTTTCAGCAGCATATTATAAGAACAAGCAACTTACAGCAAAAACAGAAAAACAAGTACGGGAACGGGCTTAATAATACTTAAGATAAGATGTACAGTCTACTCTTTAAAACTCGATATTGAAGGGACCATCGAGTTAGGGAGCAATAACGAGTTGCGAAGCTTGGATTTCCATCGACTTAGGGAGGAATCCAGTAAGGGAGAGTTGACTGTTATTATATTGTAATGATGCATCACTGGGAAAATTTTCAACAAATATGTTTCTTCCACTCCACATACAATGAAAATTGAAAAAATTAACACAAGTGAACAACTATAGTATAGAGTTTCAGTGATATTTATTTCCTGTTATTTTAGTAGGTTGGTCTTTCTTTGAACATGTGGATGTTAAATAGATATTCTGTTTACATTTAAATCTAGAGATTTACTTATAATAACTGGTATGGGAAAACCGGTTTTCCATCGACCCTCACTGGAATTATCTAAAGAGTAACTTTCCATTCGCTTACGCTTACGCATCGAAGATTCACGGTGCTTTTATGATGTTTTTTTATGTTGTTGAAAATGATGTTGGATGTTAAGATGGTTTCGCGAAGGTTCCGAAATATTCTATCTCCTAGAACTCTCAGTTGACCAAATCGCACATAGGATCGTACTGTTCTGTATAAGCGAAGTTAAATTTATGCTACCGAAGACTGATCACAGCTTACGGTGCTCTGTTTAGTTTTGGCAGCTGCAAAAGATGAAATACGTTAAAAACAAAGTTGATACACACTTATTATATTATATTATATTATATTATTGCCAACTTCGGTAATTCTGTACCGAACTTTTAACAGCTGAACGTTCGGCAAAACTTTTCAAAAGCTGTTTCACTAAATTAAAATTTTGAAACACAGTCGATCTTGTTTAAATAAAGGAGTCTTGATATTGTGGTTTTCCTAGTTTTAAATAATGAATTAACACGCCTGATTTTTACCGAACAGTTTAGCTGTTGAAAGGTCGGTAAAAATTACCGAAGTCGGTTACCATTTCTAAGTGTGTAGCAACCACAAATGGCCGTTAGCATGGCTGATTTGCTTTGTTCAGTCATGATAGCGGCTATTTGTGGATTCTACTAATCTTCTCCTTAAAACATATTTTAACCGTAAGAATATCGGATTTACCTTTTATTTCATTTAGCAACAAATAGGTGGGCGGTTTGGTTTTGGCCCCATTATACTTAATATGGTAGAACGTTCTGTTGATAAAATCCCACATGGGCTCACATCTTTCTGAATACGCAAAATTAAAAAGATGGTAAGCTTTAAAGCTAACATCGATAGCCTTCGCGAGGCTATAAAATTTGTAGGTTATGTTTTCGAAGTCTACCATTATATATGAACAATTTTCCAACGTTCCTATGACCGTCATATACGGCGGTATAGAGGATTCTTTTTTAACTTTCTCATCATATTTCTGTTTGTATTCAGTTTCTGTGGCGCAAACCATAATGAACGCCTCTTGTGACTCTTTAACGCTATAAAATCGTCGTTTGGCCTCAATTGGTTGCTGATTCCTGATCCTGGAGTACGGCAAAATCGTTTGCATTAGACGGAACACTATGGCGGCTGAAGTATCTAAAATATACAAGAAAATTGCATACAATGTTGATAGAAACAAAACTTAACTGATTTAATTACTTTTTAATAGATTGCTTTTTTTATCATTTAGTGTTTTCAACAAATCTTTATCTTCTGCCGTCTTAATTGATGAATGATGTTTGGGGAAAATTTCTTCTACCATTAGGTCCACAAACTTTTCCAATGAATCGAGTAACTCATTTTTTTGGCCGTATAGGTGCACAAAATCAGATTCGATCTGTTCATTAAAAAAAAGATTATTAATGTTTGGTGCTTGAACAAAAATTTAAAGTCAGAAATACCATTCGATAACCATCAGGATTTTTGTATTGTGACCAAACGTCAAATACGTGCTTCAAAGAGTTCTCTTGTTGTCGTAAAGCGTTAAGCCGCGTCGCAGCGCATCCAACCCAATGAGCTATTTTTTCCTCGTAGCTCATGGTAGCCATTTCATGCTTCAGAGCACGGATGTGTAATTCCTCGTCTTCTCCAATCGGATAATTTTTAGCTGGATTTCCATCTACGGACTTCGTGCTCTTTTCACCGGCCGATTTCCGGTTGAGATTGTTTTTCCAATTGCGATATTTATGGTAAAGTTTTCCTAACGGCGCACCATTTTTCCGTTCGACATAGTAGTAGGCCTATGAAAAAATGCACCATAGTTGTATTTGACATTTACGAAACCAACCTGTCGTTGCAGCTGAATTCAAGCTGAACATTGCATTAGGTCCTAGGACATTGATCGATTCTCTTCGTCGACTTTCTCTTTCGTTAATAACTTGAGCACATAACCGTTTCATGTCGTTTTTGTCGTATTAGAAGGTAGATAATAGCTGCTTTCATCGATCTGGCTGCTCAAAACAGCTGGGAATGTCTTTAGAAAGTCGACGAAGAGAATCTGTCAATGTTACTTAGGACCTAATGCAATGTTCAGCTTGATGACGAAATCTCGATGAATTTTTCTAAAGATCATATCGACAGTGAGCATGCATAAGGGCCTATACGCGATGATCGATTCTCTTCATCGATTTTCTCCTTTGTTAATAACTCGCTAGATTTAACGTTTCTCGGTGCGTTAGCTGTTGCTTTTGATAACCAATACAACCTGTTACTACTCTGCATTGAACAAATTCTAGAAAATTGTTTCGCAATGCAAAGAGAAAATCGATGAAGAGAATCGATCATCGCGTATTCGCCCTTATGCATGCTCACTGTCGATATCTACTTTGATCAATTCAAGCTGAAGCTCTTCGTCGACTTTCTCTTTCGTTAATAACTTATTCACAGAACCGTTTCTTGATGTAATAGATAAAAGCTTCTTTTATCGGTTTATGTGCTGAAAATACCTGGGAATGTCTAAATGACTGTGGGGATGTAAAGAGAAAGTCGACGAAGAGAATCTGTCAATGTTACTTAGGACCTAATGGAATGTTCAGCTTGAATTCTCTTCCTCGACTTTCTCTTTTGATAAACACTGCTATGCAAACAGATTTCGTGACATTTGTACCACATAGATTGATAAAGGACATTCTTATAGCGTCCAAAATGTCTAATACAACAGGGAAAGGTTTTGAAAAAGAAAGTTCGACAGTGAGCATCCATAAGGGCGAATACGCGATGATCGATTCTCTCCATCGATTTTCTCTTTGCATTGCTACAGCTAAGCGAAACAATTTTCTAGAATTTGTTCAATGCAGAGTAGTAACAGTGTATTGGCTATCATAAGCAACAGCAAACGCATCGAGACACGTTAATTCTAGCGAGTTATTAACTAAAGAGAAAATCGGCGAAGAGAATCGATCATCGCGTATACGCCCTTGTGCATGCTAACTGTCGAGTTTATGAAAAGAATCGAATCGATGCAGCTAGGACCTTTTGAAATGTTTATCTAGAAATAAATCCTATAGGAATTTGTGAAAACACAATAAGAAGGTTGACTCAAAAGACATGTTGCGCAGTAATTATAAAAGAGTGGTTTTTTTAAGTTGTGCTTCATCCAAATTAACTTTAAGATCATTAAAATTATACAAACCATCACTTCTCCTGGAAAAACCTGGATAATTTGTTCAGCCAGCAACGAGCAGCCTTTGACGGTCAAGTCATGCTTGTATTCGATGCAGAACTGCAGAATAGATTCCAACAACAGCTTCCGGAGGTTATCGTTGAGAGCTTTGTTCCGATCATATGCGCTGATCAAGTTTAAACCATATTGGTTGGATTTCAATATTGTGTTTAAGTTAATCGATATTTCGCTGGAGCTAGATTGCGGTATCCACACAGTCTCATTTACCGTAGCTTTGTTCGGATTCAGTTGCGAAAAATTTATTCGTGAATCGGAGTTCGTGACTGAGTCAACGCCGGTTGCTGAGCTTGTAGCTCTTATCCATTTGTTCCAGTGGTAATTAAATTCGATTTGTGCCCCCAGTGGGATACACGCTTGGTTAATAATCGTTATGGCCAGTTCCGGAGTAAGGTGCTTCAGTACACCGACATACATATGTTGACCTGTTCATGTAAAATTATGGATGTTAGTATCCTTTTGGAAGGGAATAAATATGAGATGCAATGTGACTTACTATAGAAATACGAAAAAAGATCCCCAAGATTCCAACTGTTGAGCAACGCATGCAATTCGAGTATATCAGTATCGGTGCTTCCGTACTGCTGGACAAGCTGTTGGCATGTACATGTTCCGTCTGTTGTATTAAGATTCGGTGCCCGTGATTCGTCTTCATCCGGGTTTAATACGTTATCTTCGTTTTCAACGTTCATGATGTTTATCACAGGAATTTGACAAAAATCTGCTAAATTCACGAATTGCGTCATTGTTTCTGGACTATTTTGCGTTGATATCATTGGTGCATCGGGTTGTTCTTGTGAGGGATTCATCATCTAGCGATAGCACAGCTTTGAGACATACATCAATACGATAAACATACTATTTTTTGTGTGAATATGCTAATTTAGCAATATTGCTTCGGCCTTATCATGTTCAACCCCCGAGCCGTTTTGTGGAGGTTGATAGGGGGGCCAGCTAAATTGTCGATGCACAAAATGTAGTATTCGCTTTGTTCTAAGGGATTGCACGTTTCGATTGCATAAGCGGCGTAGTGTTCATAATAGTTATTAACTTTAATTCTCTTACAAACAACGTGGATACATGGAGAACCCACGAATAAGATTATTTCGTTTATTTGAAATATTGTAACATTTTCAACTGAAACTGCATCTAGATATTGACAAATATAAAAACCTTGTTTGTACTTTTTTGATTTATAGATGCATTTTGAATAGCAAAGAAAATTGTTACGATCAAAGTTATGATTCTCACAGAAGACTTTAATCAAATCAAAGTGTATTGTAATGATAGCGTGATGGGGTTGTACGGTATACGCTGGCTTAGCAGGCTCTAGTATGGCATGGGCGAACTTCAGCTGATACTTTTTTGCAATGGAGATGCATATGTTTTTTCGGCTTGTTATGTTGCGAGCATACGTCTTGAATTCCTTATGCTTCGCTTCAAAACGAAAAGACCAATAATGCCTTGGAGGTCCTGATTGCAGAACCACTGTATAATAATGCAACAGAATATGGTGTTTGGGCTTCAACGTGTCTTTGAACAGTTGAACGTAATCTTGGTGGTGTTTATTGATTATAAAACGTAGTCGTTCTGCCAAATCATGTGAAATTTCAAAAGAAAGAAGAACATCAATCAATTCTAGCAAATTCAAAAGAAACAACCATACTTCATCGTCACCCGGAATGAGGTCACCAACCATAAGAGGAAATAGATGTATAAAACACATCATCTCTCTCGCAGTCATTTTCAAGTGGAACTTGTTTAAGTGAGCTTGGGTAATTTCAGGGGATATATTGTCAATCTCTATTTCCCCATAGTTAAACATATGTTTACGTGTGTTTAATGTTTCTATCGTTAGATATTTGCTTGATATGAAGTATCCGATGATATGACAAATATCGTAGTGGCAGACACCCTCAAAAACGTCGTGCATTAAATCTACAGCATAGTTGGTAGTCACGTGGAAAGACTCGATAGTATTAAAAATACATTGTTCTTTAATGCCTGTTGAACTGAGGTCATTGGCCGCTACATCTTCAGAATAATTTTGGGTGTTACGGGACAAACTCATATTATCTGTGCTCAAAGTATGCGTAATTGACTTAGGAGTTTTGCAAAATCTGCAGAAAAACTGATGATTGAATGATGAGGTGAATCCAAGAACTTTATTTAGACCCAAATTGTCTCCTATAAAAAGTGCTAGAACAAAATGAACTTTCTTTTTTCCTTCTGATGTTTCTATGAGAATTCCATTCTCCTCTATATCCCGAATAGACCGAATTAAGGCGCTTAAGCATTTCTCGTTACCGAACTCCTTGTAATCGTGTCCTTTGATAATTGCTGCCAAGTAAATTTCTGAGTTTTCTACAACCGGAAATGAATAATATACAAAAGATACAGGATCAGTATGCGTCCCAAGGGCGTTATTGATTTCAGAATCGTCAATGTAAAGAAAAAACGGCAAAACAATTTTTCCCGCATCAACAAATGGTTTACTTTTTGCACGCCATAACGCGCCATTGATAAAATGTGCATTTAGCAACGATCGATTAGCAATCGATTCCATATTTTCAAGTGTATGGAGAAGCAAGTCATTTTTCTCAAAAACTTTACGAAATTGAAATGATAGGGGTAGTAGAACTCCCGTAACATCAACCTCATCGTAGACAATTTCTCCCCGACAGTATTTTTCACCAATCTCTTTGTTGATTTCGAATTCCTCATAACCGCTTACGTAGTCATTTTGTGAAAGCCAGTTGAACAATTGTTGCTCATTTTCACATCTGTAGAATGGATTTGATATTTCTTGAACGAGTGACGTTAACTGTAAGCGATGCTCCAAGTCATTATTATTACAATGCTGGCTCAAAAAATTTCTTACTGAGCCAACAATTGGATTGATAATTTCATTCATCACGCTTTTTTGAATGTTTAAAACATCTTTCCGCGTAAAATTGTTATTATTGTGAAGCTTAAGAGTGAATTTAATACCACTCTTGTCAATTGAAACCTTATCTTGGGGGACGTCAATCGAAGGCAACACAGATGATTGATTATAATCTGACAATGATGCTGATTCAAATATAGGTTGGTTTTGTTGTAAAACGGATGAAGACAATGGATCGGAGGATGGATTGCTGGGTGAAGATAGAGGAGGATGCTGTTGTTTTTGGATGTGACCTTTAAAGTGACGAGTCAATGAACTTAAAGTGACAAACAAGGTGTTGCAATTACCATGATATGTACATTGATAGTGATGGTTCTCAGGAAATTCATGGAACAATTTAAAATGATTTGTCATAAATCTAATTGAGTCAAAGCGAATACCACAAATATAGCAATCCATTTCTATGACTCTGAGCCAAAAAAAAGCTTATATGCTCGTATATGTATGTTTCTGTATATGGTTCACGCTCACCTGAAAGTCAGACAAAATATGATATTTCAGGCATAAAATTTGATAACGGAACAAAATCATTTGTAAACCAACTTTCTAAGGCCATTTACACGCGAACCAAAGTACGCCCACGAAAACCAATACCACTTACGGAAAGGTGAGAGTTGCTCCCATCCGATGATAATGTTGGTTTGCGTGAGCGTACTTCGGTTCGCATGTAAAGGGACTTAGAAAGTTTGTTTACAAATGCTTTTGTGCCGAATTGGATGTTAGTTGTATTAGAAGCTAGATAATAGCTTTTTTCATAGATTTGTGTTAGTTGGGAATGTCTTAACATGGCCGTGAGGATGCAAAGAGAATTTGTCAATGTTACATAGGACCTAATGCATTGTTCAGCTTGAAATGTTAATCCAAGCAGGATTTTCCCTCTCAAATAAATAAATAAATAAATTAAAAAATTAACAAGAGAAAATCGACTAAAAGAATCGATAATTGCAGTTAATTAAATTAATATTAGGGGAACTGGAAGACAGTTGGGCAACGCGATATTTGATCACTTCCCCCCATGGATGCAATATGCAAAATACTGAGAAATCCTAATTTCCGGATGTTTTTTGTCACGTCGAAATAACCTCAAAAAAGAATACGTACGAAAAAACCATCCGGAAATAAGGATTCCTCACTGTATTTTGTATTTTTAAGGGGATGAGAAAAAAAACTCTGTAACTAGGTACTTACTCAGTTTTGGCTCGTCAATTTTTTTTCCTGCCTAATTTCACTTAAAAACGCACTTCTTGCAGAACTTAGCTTAGAGAACTTAGAACTTAGCGAACTCTGAACGCGTCGCGACGAAGGCAATGAACTGAATGCGATTGGATTTTTATATGAAAACGGATTTGCACAACGCATACTAATAAGCGCTTGTATACACGAATTGTTTTCGTATCACATACGAAAGCAGATTTTACGTTACGAAAGTAACTTCGTGTATTTTACAAATTAACCGTAAAGTTAACATTTTGTCCGATGACATGCAACACGAATGCTTCGTATGATCAACAAAAACATAGTGTTATGTACGAAAACTCTTTCTACGAAATAAGCGTGAGAGGATTAACGAAACAATATTTTCAGTGTGTCCACCTTCTTCGCCGCAGAAAGCCAGTTTGCCTTGAACTGCTGCTCGCCCTTAGCAGTTTTTTGGTCTTCTTTAGGTTCCGCTTGACAATAGCCCAGTATTTCTCAATTGGGCGGAGCTCTGGCGTGTTGGGAGGGTTCTTGTCCTTGGGAACCACCTGCACGTTGTTGGCGGCGTACCACTCCATGGCCTTTTTACCGTAATGGCAAGATGCCAAATCCGGCCAAAACAGTACGGAACAACCGTGTTTCTTCAGGAAAGGCAGCAGACGTTTATTCAAACACTCTTTCACGTAAATTTCTTGGTTGACAGTCCCGGAAGCTATGAAAATGCTGCTTTTCAAGCCACAGGTACAGATGGCTTGCCAAACCAGATATTTCTTTGCGAACTTTGACAGTTTCATGTGCTTGAAAACATCTGCTACCTTTCCCCTTCCTTTTGCCGTATAAAACTCCTGTCCCGGAAGCTGCTTGTAGTCGGCTTTGACGTAGGTTTCGTCGTCCATTACCACGCAGTCAAACTTCGTCAGCATCGTCGTGTACAGCCTCCGGGATCGCGCTTTGGCCGTCGTATTTTGTTTATCATCGCGATTTGGAGTCACTACCTTCTTGTAAGTCAATAGTCCGGCTCGTTTTTTGGCTCGATGCACGGTTGTAGACGATACACCCAGCTTATTTGCGGCATCTCGGAGAGAGAGGTTAGGGTTTCGCTTGAAACTACCGGCAACTCTCTTTGTCGTCTCAGCGGCTTCCGGTTTTCGATTTCCCCCCGATCCAGACTTCCTGGCTGTCGACAAACGTTCCCCAAACACTTTAATTACATTTGTAACGGTTGATTTGGCAACTTTTAGCGATTTTGCCAACTTTGCGTGCGAGTAGCTCGGATTTTCGCGATGCGCGAGCAAAATTTTGATACGCTGCTCTTCTTGCTTGGACGGCATTTTGACAACTGAAGAGTGAATTCCAAAATCAAAATAGGAGCAACATTCTACACACACACACCTTCAAAATGAGGGGTGTTCAGGTTTTTTAAATGCAAAATTGAAAGAAATACGTCAAGTTGATATTGACCAAATTTTGACCGTATCACCCTTTAGCCGCGAGTATTCGGCCCAACTCCTACTAGACATAGAATTAAGTGAATTTTGTTACAAACAAAGAACAATGAATTATCGGCTCCGTAAAGCAATGAATTATCGGCTCCGTAAAGAATTTGAGACGAAATCAAAGCGGTATTGAGACAGACTTTAGATGGAATTCATATGGAATTTAGATTAAATTGAGATGGAATTGCGGCGAAATTTTGACGGAATTTTGACGGAATTTAGTCGAAACTGAGACGGAGCTTAGACGGAAATGAGATGAAATTAAGACCGTCCTGCCATTTGGTTCAGTGACGAATAGGGCGCGTTCTGCCAGGTTGGTCGAGGCTGATTTCATGTATAAGTAAGTGATGACATTAGTCATTGGTCACACTTTAGAAGGTGCATTTCATATAGTTGCATTGAAATACTTTAAATCGTGTGAAGTTTAAATGATCCCTCATTTCACAATCTATGAACCATTATTTCACAGCACTGCTCATAACGTATATTGCTATATCTTTTCCAGTACCATGGAGTCAACAAAGTTAAAGTGAAAGACGAGCTGCAAAATGGAGCACATGCAATACGACAATGGAGTGATGCTAGTTGAGAAAATATTCGGTGATTGGTATTGTCTATTTTCCGCGCTGGTGTTACAGTTTTATAAGTCGCAACTGAAGATCACCGTACAAAGATAATGGAATATCGTCTAGTTGTCGTGGAACACATCAAAAATAACATGGAGGACTTTTGGGAGACTAGCAGTGATTCTGACTGGAGAAAAATGATACACATTTTTATTTGTTTTTAACGATAGTTTGTGATTTTTTTTTCAGATTATATCTTTTTCTGAAAAGGCAATCCAGTTTCCTAAAATTTTATCTCTAACGTCATTTCGATTCCATAATCCTTTTTCATGCTATAATTTATTGAAAAATATCGAAGACGCCATTTTGAAAATGTTGGTTTCAAAATGGCAAAAATCCAGCACAAACTGCGTGCATTGCCCCCTAGTGAACAATTATGCGAAGTTTCATGGAATTCGCAGAAAAAGAAAGCAAAATCGTCCCACCAACAGCATTTATTTCAGTGGCTCTACAACCTTCATAGCCCAATAACCCTACCCAAAATAACATCTTTCGAAGAATTCAATTCATCCATCCACCCGGAGGTTATCAGTTGAATTATTAAATTTCCTTCGTTCGAATGGACCATGCTCTGCATATTTCATTTGGGAAAAACAACCAACCACCAAAATAGAAACTTACCATCCTCTTCTGCAACTTTGTATAACAGCGTACGAGTGCAGCAAGTCAGATGAAATCTGAAAGGGAAAATGATGAAAAGAAATGCTAGATCAGTCATTTGCGTTCAACAAAAAACACAGTTTTCTAAGACTTGAAAATAGATCATGTGATTGCACTGTACTGATGAAAAAGCAAGATCCTAATATAAAGCAAATTGAAAGGGGTGCCGATAGTATCCAGTTTCGCTTCGTAGATCCATCCAATTAACTAACTGACGAAAACGGACTTGTTCAACTCGGTTCAGTTGGCAGAAAACCACCCATCACTGAGCTAGCTGTACACGACTCAGAATTGATATAGCCCGTTACGACATCAATTTTCCCCTTCATCAGCCACCGCAACCTGTCAGAGATGTGTCAGAGTGGATCCCGAGCCGAGCGAAACATCTGCTCCCGCTGTCGGTGTCTGACAGATTGCTCCGTCACTTGACATCGTCAAACGAACATCGTAAAGTTCTGTTCGATATCTCCTCGTCCCAGACGCGCTCGTTCCGTCCCGTCTATTAAAATGCAAAGTGCGAGCATATCGTAAATTTTACATGAAGCATAAAGCTTTACATCTCGCCAACGACAACGACGAAAATCGTATAATCCCTCCGTTCGAAAGCAATTCACTGCCATAGTTTCGCCCAGTTTAAATGTGGGTAATAATTTTGCAATTCCAGCGATGAAAAAAAAAGGACAAACGCCACCATCGTCATGAAAAGCTCGTTTTCGGGCGGCGAAAGTTGCACCGGGTAAATTTAAGTACAAGTCAAACATGGAAATCAGGTTACTAAAAGAGTGGTAGGTACTTCATCAGAATGCGTCCGTCGGTGTGGAATTGAGAACAAAAGAAGGAGTTGCCAAGAGTTTTGCCCGAAAACGGAGAAACAACTGCGAAAATAAATGTGTTCAAATAATAAATTACTTTGGCCGTTTGTTTGACTCTCTTGGTTCTGGTCCGGGTGTCTATTTGCTCGGCGAATAAAGTTGCTCGAGTGTGTGTATGTGTGTTTGCATGGGTTGACTGGTGGCGTGACGACAAGTAAGTTGACTCTTTTTGCTAATTGGATACGGAGCTCGTTGTGTTCTGAATGGCAATCATAAATGCAAAATAATAATGATTACGAACCTCGTAATGAGCAATCGTCGCATTGTGGAAGTTTTTAATTTCAATTCGGGAACTTTCTCGAAAGCGTAAATAAAGGTTGAACACAAAAACATCCGTACAGGATTGGTGGGGTCTTTGCACGAGCTCGTTTTTTGGCAAGGAGGAAACCTTCAAAAGGCCATAATGCCACAGCTTGACGACCAAGTGCACGGTCGCGGTGAAACGATATGTGGGATTATTACCACCGACAAACTGACATGACACTTAATTCTGACCTATGCCTGAAAATCGTAAACGGCCGATTTAAATGTGCAGTGATCCAAACTGTCAAAACCATAGGATTTTTTTTATTTAGATCAAAATTATTTGCCCAGATTAGATCAGACACGAACCAATTCATAACTTCTGCATGCGGGCTCATGGCTTAGCTAAATATTTCCCGCGAACACGGAGCCAGATGGCAGTAGTGTGCTTTGGTCAGAAAATTTTAAATTTGGACGCCTTGCCCTTTTTCCCCCGGAACCACTTATCGTGTTACTTCGGAGAGGACCGTGCACCTCACTTTACCTTAACGGCGCTTCCACTTCGCTGATCGTCTCTCCAATTTGTGAGCGTCGCGTTCTACTCGGCTAATCCCCGGTGGTGGATTCAGCCTACTCTGACGGAGAGTTCTCCCATTTTCGCTGCAGCGCTGACATGATCTGCGTTACTGCTTTGCTGACGGCGTTAAAGGTGCCCTCTTCCCGAAACATTTCTTCGACGACATTCTCCGCGCTAAGGGCGAGCATCTCCTCTCGCACAGCATCAAATCTAGGACATTCGAAGACCACGTGCTCTGGTGAATCTTCCACATTCCCACACTCCGGACAGAAGGGTGACGTTGTGTGTCCGAACCGATGGAGGTACTTCCGGAAGCAGCCATGACCAGACAAGAACTGCGTCAAGTGGACGTTGGACTTCTCCATTAGAGTGATGCAAAATTTGAAATTTTCGCTCCACAATACTTAAACGATTCCAAATCGGATCCTGACTAATCTCTCAAAATTTGAACCCATTTGGTGAGAAACTGAGATGGCACAAACCATTTGAAGTTTGTATGGGAATTACTATGGTAAAACCAAGATTTTTTTCATGTCTATCTAATAATTCACTAAATCGGTCTTCCTCAAAAACTTTCAATTGTACTTGTAAAAAGCCAGCTACAACTTTGCGGAAGATCACTTTTTGATTAAATGCAAGGATCGAAAGTTATCAATGGTTCAAGGCGCTGATGTCTTATGATCATGCTCAATCAACTGCTCAGCAGGCAACATTGGTGTTTCTGGGGCGTTGAATAGGACACAAAAATCATGGCTACTATGTCACACTTCAAAATACAGTGTTGCCTACAGAGCAGCTGCTTGATCATGTCATAAGTTTACCAATCTCTTAAATAATTAATAACTATTTCCTGTCTCGTTTTACATAGAAACGATCTTGAGCAAAGTTGTAGCTGAGAAAATTTTCTATAAGAATAGTTATCGAGCTGTCTTGCAGCTCAATATGGAAAAAGACTAGAAGGCAATGAACAAAAAGTTGAGATTTCCCATAGTAATTTACATGTAAACTTCAAATGGTTTGTGCGAAGTCTGTTTCTAACCAAATGAGTTGTAACTTTTGGAGGCTAATCACGACCCGATTTGAAACCATTTAAGCACTGTGGAGCGAAAAAGTCAAATTTTGCATCAGTCTATTCTCCATGCTTCCTATTCAACCAGGTCGAAAGAATCGGTATTAGTCTGTGTGTCCATCTACCGTTCTCTACTGCATCCCACTCCTGCTGCCACTTAGCCATCGACACCGTTCTCACAATTTTTCGTACTCCTCTGCTTTCTCTCGTTATATAGCACTCGTAGTCCTCCGCTAAGGTGATGCCGACATCGAAATGGTTCTGTACGAACCGCATGGCCATGAGCCGGAACGTACTGCTCAATTTCCTTTGGTTCACCTTTGTTTTCAGCGCTTCAATCCAGGCTGGACCTCCGTACCTTAGTATCGATGCCAGAAGACGCCTCTTGCTGCTGCTTGGACCATAATTGTTTGGCATGATTCTGGCCAGTAGTGTTGGCTAAAATCAAGATCAGAAAATCAAAATCAGCAATCTTTCAAGATCAAGATCACCTAAAACCACAGGCACCAATATCACAAGGCATCATCACCACGAAAATCACACGTGATTTTCGACCAATATCAGCCGTGAATTTCGATTCTCAAAATCAACCAGCACCAATATCAACCAAGATGAAAATCATCGAAAATCATAGGATAAGAAGATATGTGAGATTCTAGAGTTTGGGGCATTCCGAAATTCAAGTCGACATTCCGGATGAAATTAAAATGGTGGATTTCAACCCAAGATGGCTCCCACAAATCCAATATGGTGGACCAAAATCCAATATGGCGGCCTCTGGACAGGGAATATGCATCGAAACCCATGCAATAAGTATATCTACGGAATGGGCTCGATGCGTGAAAGTATAAAAATGACATCCTCCGCCATTTTTGAATCCAACATGGCGAACCAAAATCCAATATGGCGGCCCCTGGACAGGGAATATGCATCTAAACCCATACAATATGAGTATCTACGGAATGGGCTCGATGAGGGGAAGTAGAAAATTGGCATCCGACGCCATTTTGGAATTCAAGATTGCGGACCAAAAACCAGTATGGCGGCCCCGGACAAGGAATATGCATCTAAACCCATGCAATATGGATATCTACGAAATGGGCTCGATGAGTGGAAGTGGAAAATTGAAATCCGCCGCCATTTTGGAAATCAAGGGTCCATATTTCCTGTCCGGGGCCGCCTATTGGAATTTGGTCCACCATATTGAATTCCAAAATAGCGGCGGATGTCAATTTTCCACTTCCCCTCATCGAGCCCATTCCGTAGATATTCATATTCATGGGTTTAGATGCATATTCCCAGTCCGGGGGCTACCATATTGGATTTTGGTCTGACATCCTGGATTCCAAAATGGCGGCGGATGTCAATTTTCCACTTCCCCTCATCGAGCCCATTCCGCAGATACCCATATTGCATGGGTTTAGATGCATATTTCTTGTCCGGTGCCTTCTGCTCATCGAGCCCATTCCGCAGATACCCATATTGCATGGGTTTAGAGGAATATTCGCTGCCCGGGGCCACCTATTGGAATTTGGTCCGCCATATTGGATTCCAAAATGGTGGCAGATGTCAATTTTCCACTTCCACTCATCGAGCTCATTCCGTAGATACCCATATTGCATGTGTTTGAATGCATATTCCTAGTCCGGGGGCCACCATATTGGATTTCGGTCTGCCATATTGCACTACAAAATGACGGCGGATGTCAATTTTCCACTTCCCCTTATCGAGCTCATTCCGTAGATACCCATATTGCATGGGTTTAAATGCATATTCCTAGTTCGGAGGCCACCATATTGGAATTTGGTCCGCCATTTTGGATGCCAAAATGGCAGCGGATGTCAATTTTCCACTTCCCCTCACCGAGCCCATTCCGTAGATATTCATATTGCATGGGCTTAGATGCATATTCCCAGTCCGGGGGCCACCATATTGGATTTTTGTCTGACATCCTGGATTCCAAAATGGCGGCGGATGTCAATTTTCCACTTCCCCTTATCGAGCCCATTCCGTAGATACCCATATTGCATGGGTTTAGAGGAATATTCCCTGTCCGGGGCCGCCTATTCGAATTTGGTCCGCCATATTGGATTCCAAAATGACGGCGGATGTCAATTTTCCACTTCCCCTTATCGAGCTCATTCCGTAGATACCCATATTGCATGGGTTTAAATGCATATTCCTAGTTCGGGGGCCACCATATTGGAATTTGGTCCGCCATTTTGGATGCCAAAATGGCAGCGGATGTCAATTTTC